AATTACACACTGTTTAATTGTAACACTATATGCATATTCATTTAAACACTCTCACGTGTTTATTTGAAGAATGAGGATATTCTCAAATGTGACTTTTTGTGGAAAATATCAGTTTAGGAATCCATATTCAAAGACTTTCAATAGCTTCCATATACAATTTTCTCATTTTAAAATTTCACTTCTACCCCTACAAACTCAACCGGAGCCTTGAAAGTCATACTGCATTATTTGTGACTTGCATGTCATTGTCAATCCTACATATTTTTTCACTCTGAACTTACTTAGTTCTGCTGATAATATATGAGCACAAGTAAAATCTAACTATCTTTCCCTGAGGTATATTGACTCTTAAATACTAGTTGGAGTAAAAAGTAGCACCATAAAGTTAATTGTAATTGGCCTTCATTATCTTTTTGATTTTATAAATCATTTGTTTTCTCCACTTTACTTCATTGGGCCATTGTAGGTCTTACTGAATGTGGAAACTGGAACTGTTTGCCATGTCAGATGGAACTAGGCCTGCCGACATTTCTGGGAAAGGGAAATCAATTCCTTTCTCATAAGTAAATTGAATACCACACTTGGGTTTAAAATCAAGTCCTTCTCATTATTGTCTTGTACATCCCATTACTTCCCCTTCCTACCCACCCACTTAAATTGCACCATGATTTTATCAGGCTTTAAAGACATTGGTTTTAGCCTGAGCAGTTTCAGTAGAATAAACTCTGAGCTAAGTTCAAAAATGGGTGGGAAAAGGTAAGATGGTATTCAAAATGATGTTAATTTAAGTTGAAATGATGTTAATTTAAGGTCCAATATCATTGTGAAGATAATTGAAGGTCCAATATCTTGTGAAGAAGAATGAGGGGGGATTTGATAGCTGTTTTCAACTACCTGAAAGGGGGTTCCAAAGAGGATGGATCTAGACTGTTCTCAGTGGTACCAGATGACAGAACGAGGAGTAATGGTCTCAAGTTGCAGTGGGGGAGGTTTAAGTTGGATATTAGGAAAAACTTTTTCACTAGGAGGGTGGTGAAGCACTGGAATGGGTTACCTAGGGAGGTGGTGGAATCTCCTTCCTTAGAGGTTTTTAAGGTCAGGCTTGACAAAGCCCTGGCTGGGATGATTTAGATGGGAATTGGTCCTGCTTTGAGCAGGGGGTTGGACTAGATGACCTCCTGAGGTTCCTTGCAACCCTGATATTCTATGATCTCTACAAATAACTGACACACACACACTCACACTCACTCACTCTCTGTGATGCTGGGATTCTCAGCTTTACATCCCTACTTTACTTTGTATCCTTGATGTTTGGCATATATTGAACAGTGATATAGTGACCTGTCTCTTGGGCCATACAAATTAGGCTAATTAACAGATAAACCAAGGTGCTTTCAGCATTGC